AAATTACTAGGCAAACATTGAGTGGATGATATTTATTCACATGAGAACGAGTGTGCAACAACAGCATAACTATTGTCAATCGGGACCTACACTTACCAGGACTTTCATCCTTTCTTTTCCTCTCGCTCTACAACAATATGTAATCATTATCCTTTAATTTGTTATATGTCCTATCATTAAATAGCATAAGATAGCATAAATACTATACAAATGTTTGAACCAATTCTCTCCAACTTTTGTTAGTAGATGTGGAATCAAATTAAGCAGTATCATATGTATAATCAGATTACAACCATCAATCACAATTGGCATCTAATATATCCTCAAAACAATATTCATATACCAATATTTATTTATATAGAAACAACACAAGCACCATCACCAATAGAATGCTTGTGACATGCATCGATACTCAACAAACAAGATAAAACCTGGGATAGCGTTTTTAGCGTCTTGCAGCTCAGTTCAATCTAAACATTCACCTAAGAGCAAATAATGGTAATAAAATAGTCTAAAGGCGAATCAGAATTAGTTGCATACAAGTAAACTTAAATAATATTCACATTTAACTGTTGTAGGAACACACAAGGAAATTTAATCAATATGCAAAATTTCAATGAAAGGCGTGAAATTACAGTACACGTCCAATTTTACAGAGCAATCTTCGCCGTAAATTTTAGGTGATAATATAATCGAGCAATATTGTACCTCATAAGCATTTGCTATTTTAACAAACAGCTTTCTCGACTCCGGATCTGGGTTTTTATCCGGATGACTGAAAAAAAATGAAAATCAGTCAACCTCCGAGCAAAAACAAACAGCATCGGAAGTGAGATCTGATCAGTTAATCATACTATTTTAAAGAAAGCTTGTAGTACGCCTTCTTGATCTCCGACGCATTAGCACTCTGCGAAACCCTAGACGTAGATGGGACAGTTACGATTCAATTAGTAAACTGCAAAATCAGACGAGGCCAATGTCAACTATGTAGAACGGCTGCAAGGAGTAGAGAAACTACCCGAGGAGTTCATAACAGTCATCTTCGTCGCAGTAGATGCCGTGAGCTGACCGGGGGAGGAGGGAGAGGACGAGGAAGAGAAGAGCAGAAAGAGAAACTCCGCGGGACCAGGAAGCTCTGATCGAGAACCGGGATTGTGCCATTGATTTCATTTCTCTGTTACAGAGAATGTGAGACCGTGCTCTAAATATAAATTTTTATGTAACATGATTTTTATTGCGAATTTGAAGCCATATAATCAATTCTGCGGGGCACGAATTCAAATTTTTTGATGTAAATTATATTTTATAATTTTTT